GGTCTGTTACAGGTAATTCCCCTTATGTATGCTGGGAGGCAGTTGAACAGTCTCGGGCCCCTGACACTTAATTGTATGGTCTTTTAAACCCGTGCTAGTGATACCCCTGCTTTTCATTGGGGGGAGTTGCATCGTCTGCCAAGTCATTTGCTTTCGTAGTGAGTGATTTTCGTGTGCAAGTTCGGTACTGTCCCTCTAGGGTTTTCCCGGGGTATATAATCATGTATCTCTCCCGCTGCGTTCCAGGGGATACAGGTTCAGGAACCTCAAGCGCTCCCAGTAATTGAGGTGTTTTATCTCCGTTTTATGCGCGCCGTGAAGGTTCTCTGTACATTTTCTTTGGTCAGCAATTTCACCTGCCTTGAAAGGTGCTGTTAGTGTTGCAGCAATGTTCCAGCCTAGATAGAACAAGTGACCTGAAGAGTGTCATCATGGGCTTGGCCTCCCTAGTTTTGAAGGTTCTCATTATCCATCCTGTCATTTTTCTAGCAGATGCGATTGATACAATGTTATGGTCCTTGAAGGTGAGATCCTCCGCCATGATCACTCCCAGGTCTTTGACGTTGGTGTTTCGCTCTACTTTGTGGCCAGAATTTGTTTTGTACTCTGATGAAGATTTAATTTCCTCGTGTTTACCATATCTGAGTAATTGAAATTTCTCATCGTTGAACTTCGTCGGAGAGGTGGCAGATGCAGTTTAATATAGACAAATGCAAAGTTCTAAATGTTGGACAGGACAATAACCATGCCACATATAAACTAAATAATGTAGATCTTAATATTATGGATTGCAAAAAAGATTTAGGAGTTCTGGTTAGCAGTAATCTGAAACCAAGACAACAGTGAATAAGTGTTCGCAATAAAGCTAATAGAATCCTTGGCTTCATATCAAGAATCATAAATAATAGGAGTCCTCAGGTTGTTCTTCAACTCTATACATCCTTGGTTAGGCCTCATTTAGATTATGCTGCACAGTTTTGGTCACCGTATTACAGATGGATAAAATGCTCTGGAAAATGTACAAAGGAGGATGACAAAGTTGATCCCATGTATCAGAAACCTTCCCTATGAGGATAGACTAAGGGCCCTGAATCTGCACTCTCTAGAAAGACGTAGAATTAGGGGGGATATGATTGAGGTGTTAAATGGAAGACAGGAATAAATAAAGGGGATGTAAATAGTGTGCTGAAAATATCTAGCCTAGACAGGACTCGCAGCAATGGTTTTAAGTTGGAAAAATTCAGATTCAGGAAGGATATAGGAAAGTACTGGTTTGGTAATAGAGTTGTGGATGAGTGGAACAAACTCCCAAGTACAGTTATAGAGGCCAGAACGTTGTGTAGCTTTAAAAATAGGTTGGATAAATACATGAGTGGGTGTGGGTGGGTGTGAGTTGGACCTGATTAGCTTGTGCTACCAGGTCGGTTGCCGTGTTCCTCCCTTAAGTCAAAGTGACCTGACCTGACTAGGTTGGGTGCATTGGCTTAAGCCGGTAGGAGACTTGGACTTGCCTCGCATGGGCCAGTAGGCCTGCTGCAGTGTTCCTTCGTTCTTATGTTCTTATGAATAGGATAATAGTACAACGATCCAGTTGCTTCGTTTTAGCTAATAATGAAGTTACTAGCATGGTAGTATTATCAAAGTGATGAATTACATACGAGATATCGTAACACAGATCAATATTACGTATAATTCACAGGTGTGAGGAGGGTTCGTTGAGGAGCGTCTGGACGTTCCAAGAGGATGTAGCAAAACATGATGACCATGTGAAGGAGTAAATAAATTTGGGGTAGAAGGAAAAAGGGAAAGGGTTCGCTTCAGGAAGGTTTTAAATAGAGGGGGTAAAGGAGGTTTTTGAGTACTACCGGCTTGAGCATCATGCATGCTAGAAACACTGAATGAAATGGAACTGTGAGGGAGAGGGTCTTCCCGAAGCACAAGTTTGTTTTTAGGTCTACAAATTAAGTTGCATTTTGCGCTTACACCTTCTAGTCGAAGTTACACCCAGTGTTTAGGTGTTCCATAGTAATAGTTTGCAACACCTGGTGTTCATGTCTTCCAGAGCCATACCTCTGGTATGTCTTTGATGAATTTCGAGCGTGTTGTTACTCCAGGAACCCGGTCATTGGCCAGGCTCTTCTGGTGATTGCCCTGTCAACCAGGCTCTTCTTGCTGGGGGCCCGTTGGCCCACACATCCATTACAACCTGATTGATCTGGCACTTGGTAGAGACACTAGCCCAGTTTTCTCTATAAAACTTCAACACTTGTCCCAGCAGTGTTTCTGATATCTTTTGGTAATATGTTTAAAAATCTAGGACCATAGTGACACATATTGTTAAGGTCTAGAATTATAGTTGCATCCACTGTTTAGTTACACCCGGTGTTTAGGTGTTCCAAAGTCATAGTTAAACCCGGTGTCAAAACGCACATACAGAGGTAAATTAGTGAGAGATAACGACTTTGCGTTTCACCGAGTTGACGATAAAAGGAGTAGCTGTCTTTATCAAGATAAGGAAGTGAGTGGTGGAGGAGGGAGATAAGATGTGTCGGGAGCGGTACTGCAGGCTGATAACCTAGCTACTAGACCAGGTACATGACCAGGTACTGGGCCAGGTACAAGACCAGGTACAAGGCCAGGTACAAGACCAGGTACAGGACCAGGTACAGGGCTAGGTACAGGACCAGGCACAGGACCGACCAGATACAGGACCAGGTACAGGACCATATACGGGATCAGGGACAAGACCAGGTACAGGACCAGGTAGAGGACCAGGTACAGGACCATATATGGGACCAGGTACAAGACCAGGTACGGGACCATATACAGGTCAACTGATGGTAATCAGTGTTTTCTTAGTTGACCCTAATGACGTGTGCAGCTGGTCTTGCTCAGACGTACATGTTTCTGTTCGACTTTGTGGTGGTGTTGAGATCAACAATGGCGGCCTCGAGGCACGTTCACTTAGACTTGTCATTTTCTTGGTAAATAAGATGTGCTTCATTTCATGGTATGGTGTGGGAGTGTGATCTGGTGTATCACGAATGTGTTGCGGTGTTCCACACGTGTTTCAGTGTGCCACACTTGTGTTGCAGTGTATTACGAATGTTACAGTGTGCCACACTTGAGTTGCAGTGTATTAAGCATGTTACAGTGTGCCACACTTGTGTTGCAGTGTATTAAGCATGTTACAGTGTGCCACACTTGTGTTGCAGTGTATCATTCATTTGTTGCATTTTTATCAACCCTGTAAATTGTCTTCCTTAAATCGTAACTTTTCTTATGATCCTTGGATGTCTGACCAATATAAGAATGATTCTCCACATGGGATGCTGGTAAGGGGTAAGGCGTAAGGGAGAAGGCGTAAGGGGTAAGGCGTAAGGGGTAAGGCGTAAGGGGTAAGGCGTTTCAATGAATTCTTTAATAATTTCGGCTGAGAGCATTGTAATACACATCAGAAATAGTGAAGAACTTTAAATAGGAGCAACGCTTCTATCTGTTAAGATCTTTGTCAATTCACAAACACACACACACACACACACACACACACACACACACACACACACACACACACACACACACACACAACACAACACAACTAGAATGATGTGTGTGTGTGTGTGTGTGTGTGTGTGCGTGCGTGCGTGCGTGTGTGTGTGTGTGTGTGTGTGTGTGTGTGTGTGTGTGTGTGTGTGTGTGTGTGTGTGTGTGTGTGTGCGTGCTGTGTGTGTGTGTGTGTGTGTGTGTGTTTGTATACATTCTTCACCGTTATTCATTCAATCACCGTCTAGTCAGAAGCATACCGACATCACAGTTCAGATAACCTTCCTAACTACAACATCCTCACGCCTCCTTCAGGGTACAGGCACTTTGCTTCTCACCTACAGGACTCACATATCTAACTAGTTTCCCAGAATTTCTTCATCTCTTCATAAATGTGACCTTGCTCACTTCAACAACGAGAAAAAATCATAAAAACCATTTAACCTTCTTCCCCTCACTCTTGTCTAACACCCTTACACAAGCCTGTTGAATGTCCAAGCTCCTAGCACCCAAAATCTCCCTCCCTCCTGGGACGACTATTATCCATCCTTTCCTCTGCCCCAGATTCATATGCCCTTCCAGCTTGTGGGAGTTCACCAATCTCACTCTCTCCCTGTTACAAGAAAGAATAGTATTCATTTAAGTTCTGTCAACACAAAGTGCATATGCAGTACAGTCACACATTGTGTACATAGTTGTACTGTGCTTAAAGTGACTGTTGAGGCCTTTAACTTTTGTAGATATCCCCAGAAACTGTTGTGGCATTTTGTATATATTCTGACACATAAATCTCCCTTGATGTGTAAGAACTGCGAGCAACATCGCAGTGTATGGTTCAGTGTCTATACACTTAAAGTTTATTTTAATCATTACAAAATGGATTAAAATATATTTCACTCGTGGTTAAGAGGACATATAGCTTCAGTGACGCTTCTTTAGTCGACTGGTTTTAAACCCAGTTAGCTAACTCCTCTGAGCACCACGTCATTTGTTATGAACTAGTAAGTATAACTCTTCCTTATTCTTCTTTTCACGTATTTCAATTCTAATAATCCACACACTATTCCAATTTTCTTTCAGCTTCTTTCGTGCGATACAAGTACATTAAAATTTGCATCCCAAGAGACTGTTATTTTCCCTCTCACCTTAAAGAGCCAAAAGTACCAGCACTTGTTTCCTAGAGCCATTCGCATCTTAAAGAGAATAATAATAGATGCTATCTAGTTAAATATCCTGCCACACAACGCACAACAATTTATACCATTGAATGGTTGGAGTTGACGTTTTCACGACCACTTGTATGATTTTAGAATCAATTTATTAAGAAAAACTCGCGTGCAAGGAAATCCAATCCTGCTGGAAGGAGTTCAGGCAAGCACTAGCTAAAACCTTTCTTGAAGCAAGGAAGAATAAGCTAATGTGTAACACGTTAATGAGATACAAAATACTCCACATACCTGAGCGACCATGCCTTCTGCATGTACAATGTAGTTGTAGGTGCTGCGTTTCCACTCCAGGTCCGCCTTTCTGGGGTCCAGGCACGGGTCGTGCTGGGGAAGACACACTGCATACTCGTGGAAGAGGTAGTCGTGCGTGGGGGCAATCCAGCGGTGTATGGGGAAGAAGTACACACTCTTTTCTTGAGCTGAATTCTCTTTAAGGTACGTGGAGCCTAGAAAATTTTTGGTCGACTTCTTTGTGTGGTCTTTGGATGTTTTCTTCTTGGGTTTCCGACGGTCCTCGACGTGGATGTAGTCACAGAACCAGTCGTCGGCGATGCCCTTGGTGTCTCGGGATAGTCTCAGGTACTTCACTTTGCTGAAGTCGGTAGGGCAGTCAATGTTGTAGGTGTCTCTTTTAGAACGCTCCAAGTCGTTGTAGAGAATCTTGTCCAGTTTCACTTTCGGGGTGACCAAACCGTTCTCGTCCTCCAAGACAACGTAAACATTTGCGTCTGTTCCTGCACCTTCCTGATCGCCTGTCTTCACCACTAGATGGAAAGCTTTCTTCATAATCTTTGACAAATGATCTTGATCATTCAAAAAGCCACTTTCTCCTATTAGTTTTTCACTTGAATTATTAACTATTGATGTGTTTTCTGTAATAATAAAAAAAGAGAGAATGAAAGAATTGCCTGCGTTTAATTATTTCCAGTCAAAATTAACGAACATTTTTGACAGAAATAATGAAAAAAATATGTATTGATATATTTCGCAATGCTGAATATTATCTAAACATAAACGACTGTTTTCGTTTTCATTTGTATCGAGTGACAAACTCTGCATGACGCTCTGGTGAGCCTCGCTCCAAGTTGCAGCTGATGTTGTGAGAGGAGCAGAGCAGATGCTAGTACTGTTGTAGCGAAGTGAAGGTAGTGGCACTCGGGACTGACACAGTATTACAAAAGTACCAGGCTGGGGAGTGAAAATTAAGCTCCGCTTATCAGATATATGAACATAATGAGAGCCCCACCAAGATAAGGGAAGTCGTGATGTAACTGCTTGATGGAGTAGTTAATTACGGGTGTCATATTCCTCCTTCACTACTGATTGAGTCCTCCGCCACACAGGGCCACACACGTCCACACCTGCGTCACACAGGGCCACACACGTCCACACCTGCGCTACACAGGGCAACACCTGCGCTACACAGGGCCACACCTGCTCCACACAGGTCCACACGGCCACACCTGCGCCACACAGGGACACACCTGCGCCACACAGGGACACACCTGCGCCACACAGGGACACACCTGCGCCACACAGGGCCACACCTGCTCCACAGGTCCACACCTGCGTCACACGGCCACACCTGCGCCACACAGGGACACACCTGCGCCACACAGGGCCACACCTGCTCCACACAGGTCCACACCTGCGTCACACGTCCACACCTGCGCCACACAGGGCCACACCTGTTCCACACAGGTCCACACCTGCGCCACACGGCCACACCTGCGCCACACGGCCACACCTGCGCCACACAGGGACACACCTGCGCCACACAGGGCCACACTTGCTCCACACAGGTCCACACCTGCGTCACACGGCCACACCTGCGTCACACGTCCACACCTGCGTCACACACGGCCACACCTGCGCGTCCTCGGTAACACAAAGCCACGCTGCCACACCTGGAACATCCATATTCATAATGTTACAACATAATAGCTCCAGAAAAGCTGAAAACTGTTAGTTAAATTTTCACTGATATCTAATATTTTTTTCCTTCGCTTTTCGTCTTTTTTCAGAAATAAGAGTTTGAAAACAGCATTTATCTGTATTTTGAATAAACTTTAAAAATAAACTTAACTGCATAGGCCTACATTCCCAAAATATTAAACAATTTTTTCTTAAGAAAATATACAGTTGGAGAGGCTTCAAATTAAATCCAAAGACATGTCAAGTTATTAAATAAAAAAAGTGTATATCAGTCACTTTTTTTAAATAGTTCCATTACTACTACTACTACTACTACTACTACTACTACTACTACTACTACTACTACTACTACTACTACTACTACTACCACCTCTACCCACGCGTCACCTCACCTGACTCCTGCCACTATATATATATGTGTTTTCTTAGTTTTCTCTGTATTAGGACTGAAGAAGCCACTCGTGGCGAAACGTTTCCTTTAATAAATGTCCTGAACTGTACATAAGTGTCTTTTTCCACATGAGGGAGTATGTTGTAAGAGTGAGGGAGTATGTTGTAAGAATGAGGGAGTATGTTGTAAGAGTGAGGGAGTATGCTGTAAGACTCACTCTTACTGGAGATCGTTGACAGACCACAACATTCGAGTCTGAGAGCCATGTGATCCTTGGTAACATTGTATTACTTGTACCCTGCGTCACGGCTTGTTGTCCCCCCTCCCCCCTGCTGGACACCTCACAACCACACGACACCACCTGTTCGTCAAATGTTTTTTTTTTCTTTTTTTTATATGCACTGGAATAACCTTCCTGATATCACAACCTGTTCTACCCGTTTACCTTTCCTCTCTCGTTTCCTTTACAACGTACGTGAGTGCGTGCTAATGTATGTGCTTCCGTGCTCCCGTACTCGTTCTTGTAGTGGTCGAGTACCAGCTCCTGTTCCCTCCCATATAATAAGAGCGTATCTTCTCTAGTGTATCACTGAACGTAAACAAGTATGAACTCAGATTAAGTCGTAATAAATGACTGTAAATGAAATAAACAGCAAGGAGGACGGGACGCTTGAACACTGGTCCAGAGATTAACAGGTAAATAAATGCACGTAAATAGTATGGTTATACCAGTAAATAGAATTTCACAGAAAACGTCAGACCTAAGAAAAGTTATGCGTTATGTGTAACTTTGCTTCTCTGATCATTACGAACTTTTATTTGCATATTACATTTTGTTCTAGTTGGCACCTGGTACGCCCCAGTGGCACCTGGTACGTCTCAGTGGCACCTGACACGACCTAGCGGCTTCTGATATGCCCCTGCGGCACCTGAACCGACCAAACTAAATAATTACTGACAAATGGATTTCCTTCAGCCAAACAAGCTGGGGACTCGTGACGCGAGGCTCTTACCTGGAGGTTACCTGGAGGTTATTCCGGGGATCAACACCCCCGCGGCCCGGTCCACGACCAGGCCTCCCGGTGGATCAGGGCCTGATCAACCAGGCTGTTACTGCTGGCCGCACGCAGTCCAACGTACGAACCACAGCCCGGCTGATCCGGCACTGACTTTAGGTATCTGTCCAGCTCTCTCTTGAAGGCAGCCAGGGGTTTATTGGTAATTCCCCTAATGCTTGATGGGAGGCTGTTGAACAGTCTTGGGCCCCGGACACTTATGGTGTTTTCTCTTAGTGTACCAATGGCGCCCCTACTTTTAATTGAGGGCATTTTGCATCGCCTGCCCAGTCTTTTACTTTCGTAGGGAGTGATTTCTGTGTGCAGATTTGGGACCATTTCTTCCAGGATTTTCCAAGTGTAGATTATGATATATCTCTCCCTCCTGCGTTCCAACATGCAACCTTTGCTTTTCAAAACATCGTGTTACCTGTGCAAGAATAAACACTGCAACCAAAAATAACATCTATCTAGATAGGTGTTTCTGAATCTGCAACAGGGATGTGGAACTATGGACAGATATCAGGAAGACACCCAGGAGGTTAATAAACAGTAAACATGAAAAAAGGAGGAACTATTGAATAGTGTACCTGGAATATATAGAGCATGGGAAGATAGGAGAAGAGTAAAGTCTAACACACAGAATGCCCAGTCTACAACAACTGACCCAAAAATAAGCAGATACCCACTGGAAAAACACAGGAAACAAAAACAACAGTTAGCTCAGTCCCCAGCCCTAGGGCTGACCAAGACCCAGCCCCCAGCCATTGTGAAAATCCGATTTTTTTTTATATTTTATTTAAAACGTCATACAAATATATATAGGTACTTATATCAATATGTAACAGTGACACTGGTGATGACCAATAAACATTCACTACACAATCTACTGAATAAGCACATACATAAAGACATTAAAATAAACTTAACACAACCTACAGACTGCTTCTACGTACGTTGTTTCACAAGTAACAAGGTTCATAGATATAGTGGAACCTACTCATTGTTGCTTACACTCCCCCCCCCCACCAATGAATACATTCTACATTCCCCCGCTACTTAAAATTAACAAATGACTTGAACAAGGACAACATCAATAACACACTATATAAACACATAACAATCCAGGCAACACCTGACACTATACTATATACAAGCTTCTGAAACATATCACAATTCAAGAAGGAATAAAGGTATAAAAATAAATTACAACCTCAACACAATAATAATGCTCAAGCTTTAAAGACAATCACCCATAAAAACAACTCGTAACTTTTACACAAGACCTAGAAATACATATTAACAAACCTGTGCTGCAACACAGGTGACCCATACAAACCCTCCCCCCACTCACACAACCAGGGAAACCCCTACATCCCTCCCCCCCACCACACAACACAGGTGACCCAACATCCCTCCCCCCCCTCACACAACACAGGTGACCCATAATCCCTCCCCCCACTCACACAACACAGGTGACCCATCATCCCCCCCCCACTCACACAACCAGGTGTCCAATACATCCCTCCCCCCACTCACACAACACAGGTGACCCATATCCCTCCCCCCACTCACACAACACAGGTGACCCATCATCCCCCCCCCCACTCACACAAAACAGGTGACCCATAACATCCCTCCCCCACTCACACAACACAGGTGACCCATCATCCCTCCCCCCACTCACACAACACAGGTGACCCATCATCCCTCCCCCCCCTCCCCACAAAACAGGTTTACCCATACATCCCTCCCCCACTCACACAACACAGGGGACCCAATACACCTCCCCCCACTCACACAACACAGGTGACCCATACATCCCCCCCCCACTCACACAACACAGGTGACCCATCATCCCTCCCCCCACTCACACAACACAGGTGACCCCATACATCCCTCCCCCACTACACAACACAGGTGACCCATCATCCCTCCCCCCACCTCACACAACACAGGTGACCCATACATCCCTCTCCCCCCTCACACAACACAGGTGACCCATACATCCCTCCCCCACCTCACACAACACAGGTGACCCATACATCCCTCCCCCCACTCACACAACACAGGTGACCCATACATCCCTCCCCCCACTCACACAACACAGGTGACCCATACATCCCTCCCCCACATCACACAACACAGGTGACCCATACATCCCTCCCCCCACTCACACAACACAGGTGACCCATACATCCCTCCCCCACTCACACAACACAGGTGACCCATACATCCCCTCCCCCACTCACACAACACAGGTGACCCATACATCCCTCCCCCCACTCACACAACACAGGTGACCCATACATCCCTCCCCCACTCACACAACACAGGTGACCCATACATCCCTCCCCCCACCTCACACAACACAGGTGACCCATCATCCCTCCCCCCACTCACACAACACAGGTGACCCATACATCCCTCCCCCCACTCACACAACACAGGTGAACCATACATCCCTCCCCCCACTCACACAACACAGGTGACCCATACATCCCTCCCCCACTCACACAACACAGGTGACCCATACATCCCTCCCCCCCACTCACACAACACAGGTGACCCATACATCCCTCCCCCCACTCACACAACACAGGTGGACCCATACATCCCTCCCCCCACTCACACAACACAGGTGACCCATACATCCCTCCCCCACTCACACAACACAGGTGACCCATACATCCCTCCCCCCACTCACACAACACAGGTGACCCATACATCCCTCCCCCCACTCACACAACACAGGTGACCCATACATCCCTCCCCCCACTCACACACACATTGAAAACTAACTCCATCACCAATCTGAATACTCATGACATTAATTATCCTAAATTTAGGAATATCATGACACGTGTCACGTGAGGAAAGAGAATTTACAACATGCCTGGTACAGGACTACCAAAATCACAATACCTTAAATAAGACAAACACATGTGAATATTACATTGCAAAACACACGTATACAACTACTAATAAAGTTGGTATTACCGTTAATGATTTAGATTTATTACACATTAATTGCCCCCCCCCCCCTCTCACCCTGAAATAATATGACCGTTATCACCAACTTGTAGCTTACATCCTAACTTGATATACATGAATAAACCTAAGTGGTAATTATATAAGTATTGGTGAAACAGTAGCACCAAAGACAGTACATTTAATAACAAATATTAACATAAGGGAAACATGACCAAGTCTTACACATTGACACTTCAAC